AACCCTGAACCCTGAACCCTGAGATGAAACCCTAAGGTTTAGGGTTTTTGTTTCTTTATTCTGTAATATAATTATTTTTTTCATTTACATAATTGTTTTTACTTTATATATGTAATTGTTTTAATATGTTTATTTAATTATATTTTATTTTGTATTACATGATGCATATTGGGCTGAGTAGTGATATGGGAGTTGGGCCGAGGTATAACGTGTTGAAAGACAGGATACAATCAGGGGGTTTAGTATGCCTGTGGTCCAACTACAATTCCTTGCGGATGAAGCTCAACAATATGTTGGGGAGTTTGTTGGCCCAATGGTGAGGCGCAACCAACAAAGAAAATTAAACTAATTAAAAATTATTATTTGTTAATAAAAAATAAAAAAAATAATCCGTCCTTAATAAGATAGAGATGAATGTTAAAAAAAATAGATAAAAGACAATATGAAAAATCATAGTGTATTATTAACTAAATCAGGATAATAATAAAAAAATATTAATTAAATGAGAGTAATAATAGAAAGATAGGTACAAAAGATCCAAAACTGATATTTATTTTGGTTAATAGTTAATAAAACTAAAATGACATTTAAAAAAATAGGACTATAGGAGGTAGTAATAGAAAAAAGGAAACTTGTAATTCCGTGTAGAATCCATAACTATTGATAATTTACTAAATATAAATTGATAATTATACCTGGTGGTGGACTTAGCCATTTCAAATGCCTGTCTAGACGTACACTGCTGGGATAGGCCAACATCACTTCCATTTTCTACATTTGCTAGAGCAATATGGAAATAGTCAGAGCTAAAAGGTCGCAAACAGCAAAAAAGAGGCAATTTTTATGATCTTATCCTAACATCTAAAACCCTATTACCATAATGCAAAGTAACGGTTTACTCAGCACTACCAGACAGAGAAGTAGACACAATAGACTATGGAGCTTCATCACCATAATAAAAGGGACAACAAAATATAAATAAACATTACAAGGCAATTGATATGCAGTGAAAAATGTAATAGGTCATAGTATAACAATTTTAATTGAACATCCCGAAACAAACAACATCAGTTAAAGTACTACAAGTTAAAATGCACAAAACATAAAGAATTGCAATAAATTCCTCATACCCTCTTCTCCCCAAGGTAGTTTCGTGACGCAGTGACTGGCGGCGGTTGTTTTCCGGCTGCTAAACCACATGTCCACCTTCCGCTTCTTTTCTCCGGTGGCCTCGTCGGTGATGAGCCGAAAATCGAGGTTCAGATGCTTGTAGTTAAGCGTATGCTTGTCCCTGGGAACCTTCAACTTGATCTACAAGCCATCGGGGACCCATGGTCAGAGGAGATAATCGCCGAGAAACCCACCACCATCTATGGAAAAAAATAATAATCTTAAGTAAAGTGAAGTCAAATCACCGCCTGCTCATGAAAGGGCTCCGCTGCAATGGATGGCAGAGGGTCCGTAGCACCGGCCGCTTCTGACGGAGATGTGCCGCTGACTGGGTTCAGGAAAATTACTGAACAAAAATAAAACAGCAATAAGATTGGGAAGAAACAGAGCCGAAACACTCTGAAACGGCATAAACCGATAAAATACGAGTTAGCCTTCCCTAACAGCAAATTTATGCCTAAACTGATGTCGATCTTGGAATTGAGCTCGAAAAGCATCAATGATTATAGTATTCGGGTTATAAAATTGGAAGCGAGTTGTCGAAAGCAAGCAGATTAAAGGAATCTTACAAGTTGCATCTAAAGCGAGTTGCGGTCGAAAAGGAGCTGCTGCCCACATCGGGTGCTTGGTGGAGTCGCAATGGAGACGCCAGCGTGGAGATGAGTGGAAAGTCTGGACGATCGAAGGTCTACATGACTCGCCGTTGGTTGATTCTGCCGCCGCCGCCGCCGATTACGCTGTACAGGATCCCATCTAGGGTTTTGGCTCTGGTGGGCATAGTGTGTGCGAGAGAAAGAGGGAAGGGGGCGGATATAGCTGCCAGTTAGAGCATTTATAGGAGAGAGACAGAAGAAACCCTAGTTGTAATGTTGGGCTTCTAGTTTAATGTTTGGGCTTCTTAGTTGGATTAGTTGTTCATCTCTTAGCCCATATCCAGTTCACTTAAAATTTAATACTAATTTAGTATAGCATTTCGAGATTTAATGCTTTGATTTTTTTTATCTTTTTTTGTATCCCCCTCACCAAAAACCTAAAAATCCCTGCCCGGTGGACTAATATTTTTTGTTTAGATTAATATTTTTGGAGCCCAAAATATTTGGCATTGGATTAATTGTAGGGATGTCATTTTTTACCATATAAAATTGAACATATTCTTAAAAATACCTAATCAACTCGAATCAATTTTTACGATAACCGAATATCGATTTTCAATCATGTTTTGGTATGATTATGGTTCATAATTTTTTTGTAGTTCGATATTACCAAACCGAATCGAAATCCAAAAAACAACATTACATTGTTCAACTGTTTAAATTAAAAAATAATAATAAAATAAAATAAAACTAAATTTTGATTCTAATCTCAAAACAATATATGATGAGAAAATTGAAGCCTTATAATATTGTTGAAACTGATAAAAAAGGGAGAAACAAAAACTGAGACATAAATACATTTAAAATGGTTGATCCGAGAATTTTAAGAAATACTTTTTGTTGCATTTTAAGAAGCGCATGTCGGTGAAGCAACGGCGACTCCATACCGATGTCTTTGTATTATGCATGGAGCGGCTGGCGCAAACAATTAATCGGGAGGTCTCAATTATTTTGGGGAAATTATTAAATAGCTAACTATTGTTATTTTTGTAAATTATAACTCTCGAATTGTAGATATTATTTTTGTCATTGTTTCATTTTATCAGATAACCAAAAACTAAACCGATTCAGCCGGTGGGTTTTCAGTTTCGAACCAAACCGTCGGTTTTTAGGTTGGACGAACCGAAATTTCGGTCGATTCAGTTCGGTTTCAACAGCTTGAACAGCCTTGAACGGGAGGGTGGAAGAGGGTGAAGGAGAGGGGCAACAAGGTAATATCACCGCAATGTTGCTCTACCTCCGGCACTAGGAAAGCATCAGTTCAGCCGTAGCCACCCCAGCACATGTACAATGAACTAACGTCGTCATCACACACAACGCAAAGCTGCGCGATTAATCAGTAGCACAGTAACTGGCTCTTACCATCCATCTCCCTATACTTCAGTCTACAAACAAACATCCATTGCCATCCCAATCAAATCACCTTGAAAACCCTAGTGCAGATCAATGGCAGTTTCAGAAGAAGAATCTTCATCCGCTTCGTCTTCACGGCCGCACTTGAAGAATAACGCCGACGCTTTTTATTTAGCCAAGACAGTCCTCAGAGGCAGCGTCATTCTTCAGGCTCTCTGCGGTCACTTCCGCTTCCCCACCTCTCAAGATGTTGTCCTCGGCAAGGTATGTTTTAGGTATAAGCTCATTAGTTGATGCTGGGTGGAGCCCATCTATTTGGTTTTGCTCGGACTACAAAATACCATTGTTATGTTGCAGCATTAAGTGTCCCAGTGGATCACCATCTCCCCTGACCTCAATTTTGTTTATGAGCTGAATTGCTTCAACTGATAAGAAATTATTTCAGATAATTTTTTAATATGTTTTCCTTCTATTTCTTGAAATGTGCACTAATGCTGATATTGACACTGTTTATTCTGAACGCTGTATCATTTTGATTGATTGGACTTGCTATGCTGCTGATCAAGCAGTTTTGACTTGCAAAGTTATAATCTTCGAGAATTTGGTGTGCTTTTGCTACACGACAATCGCCTCACATAAATGGTTGAAATTGTTGCAGGAGACATCGATAGAGCTGGTGATAATTGATGAAGATGGCATCGTTCAATCCATATCTGAACAGCCGGTGTTTGGTACAATCAAGGATCTCGCCATACTTCCCTGGAATGAGAAGTACCAAGTGCAGAGCCCAAAGGTTTGTTTGCTCATTTATTTACTCTAACTCATTTTGGAGTTTTACCGAGGATTGCCTGATTCATTGCTGTCTAGATGCTGGGGAAGGATATGTTACTTGTCATTTCTGATTCCGGAAAGCTTTCGTTCTTAACGTTTTGCAATGAAATGCACAGGTTTGTTCAAGCAATATATTATTACTCTTGACATTGGTTCTGCTATTTTGGGTTGCTTTTTTTTCTGTTGTTTTTTTTCCAGTGAAATATATTGCTAAATGATGCTTGCTTGATTTGTTTGTTTAGGTTCCTCGTGTTAAGCCATGTTCAAATTTCTGGTCCTGGGAACTCGAGGCATCAGGTTGGGAGGATGCTAGCCGTTGATTCCAGGTAAGTTGCTTCTGATACAATCCTGTGCATATTAGAGTTTCTGTGCAATAATCAACAGTCTCTTAGCTACCACTCAGAGCTTGTGGAATGGCTATTCATGTAGGTTGTTTATTGCTTTCCTATCTACAGTGGCTGTTTTATTGCTGTCAGTGCGTATGAGGATCAGTTGGCTATTTTCGCACTTTCAATGTCCCAAAGCGGTGATTTCATTGATAAGGTTTGAACCACAGCTAGCACGTATTCCGCAGACTTAATTGTTGCACTTCTCCGAGGGCTATGCAAAAATTTTATTTAGTTCTTTTGACACTTTCTGCAACTTTTTCTTTCATGTGTTGGCCTCAGAAAATCTTCTGTCCTTCTGAGAAAGATGGGCGCCTCAAAACTGCCAGAGGTACTACTAATATTTCTGGCACTATATGGAGCATGTGTTTCATATCACAAGATTATCATCAGCCTAACAAGGCGTGCAAGCCTGTAGTAGCCATTCTTCTGAATAGGTACATTATCCATATCTGCATTTAGAATGGAAGTGCTCTCTGGCCTGATTAGCTCAAACTGATTTTCTTAGTTCTCCTTCATTGTATTTGACTTTTATCATTGTCTTAGTGAATGAACATGTTTCGTGTTTTACAGGTGGGGATCTTTTTATAGGAATGAGCTTCTGTTGTTGGAATGGAATATTGAGGAACAACATGTCCATGTGGTATATCAGTTTGCAGAAGCTGGACCTTTAGCATATCATATAGTTGAGGTCCCTCATTTACATGGATTTGCCTTTCTGTTTAGGGCTGGTGATATTGTCCTTATGGATTTCAGGAACGTCCACAGCCCTTCTTGTGTCTATAGGACAAGCTTAAATATCTCGCTAATGGAGGACAAGAAACTTAGCAATATCATAAGAATACCTGATATTATGGATGAGGAAGGTATTTATAATGTTGCTGCCTCTGCTTTGCTGGAGCTTGGTGACATAAATAAAAGTGACGATCCAATGAATATTGATGATTATAGTAGCGTGCAACCTAGTCGCAATCATGTATGCTCATGGAGTTGGGAACCTAGTTCTGAACACGGTCCTAGGATAATATTTAGTATTGACTCTGGAGAGTTGTATGCTATTGAAGTGCTTTTTGAGACTGATGGGCTCAGAGTAAATTTATCAGATTGTCTTTATAAAGGCCTACCATCCAATGCCCTGTTGTGGCTTGATGGTGGTTTTGTGGCTGCCATTGTTGACATGGCTGATGGGATGGTCTTAAAATTTGAAGAGGGATTTCTACAATACAAAAGCCCTATTCAGAACATTGCACCAATCTTGGATATGTGCATTGTTGATTATCCTAATGAGAGACATGATCAAATATTTGCCTGTTCTGGGATGGCATCCGAGGGATCCTTGCGGATTATTCGAAGCGGCATAAGTGTTGAAAAATTGTTAAAAACTGCTCCAATTTATCAAGGTGTAACTGATACATGGACCATCAAAATGAAATTTTCCGATCCTTATCATTCTTTTCTTGTACTATCATTTGTTGAGGAAACCAGGGTTCTTTCTGTTGGTCTCAGTTTTTATGATGTAACTGAATCAGTTGGTTTTCAGCCTGATGTCTGTACATTGGCTTGTGGTATTGTGGCTGATGGCGTGCTTGTCCAAATTCACCAATGCGGAGTTAAACTTTGTTTGCCTGCTGGAACTAGTCATTCCAATGGCACTCCTTTGTCATCTCCAATATGCACCTCATGGCTGCCTGATAATATGACCATAAGTCTTGGAGCTGTCGGCCATGACATGATAGTTGTGGCAACATCAAGCCCTTGCTTTTTATTCATCCTTGGCGTTAGATCTTCAATGGAATATAATTATGAAGTTTATCAGATACACTGTGTAAAATTACAGAACGAGTTGTCGTGTATTTCCATACCTCGAAAGGACCTCGGACTGAATCGTGTTTTGATGGGTTATGCAGCTGACAACCATGTGACATCATTTGCCTCTGGAAACCATTTTGACTGTTTGTTCGTTATTGGTACTCATAAACCTTCGGTAGAAGTTGTATCCTTTACACGTGATAAGGGACTTCAAGTTCATGCCATAGGAATCATTTCATTAATGAACACCATGGGAACTACTATCAGTGGATGTGTCCCCCAAGATGTAAGGCTTGTCTTAGTTGATCATTTGTATGTCCTGTCAGGACTGAGAAATGGAATGTTACTTAGGTTTGAGTGGCCTAGTGCTGCTAAATTATCTACATCTGGACCACCTGGTCCACAAACTGTTGCTAGTTCCAGCGCAGTGGACCTCCATGTGTTGTCAAATTCAGAATCTCCAAATAATAAGGTGTTCCTGTACAAAACATGTGGCAAGACTGAAAGAGAGTTACCTGTAAATCTTGAGCTTATTGCTGTACGCCGTATTGGTATTACACCCGTTTTCTTGGTACCACTGAGTGATGCACTTGATGCCGATGTGATTGCTCTCAGTGATAGGCCTTGGTTATTACAGAGTGCAAGGCACAGCCTCTCTTATACATCCATCTCCTTCCAGCCTTCCACTCATGCAACCCCTGTGTGTTCAGTTGAATGCCTCAGTGGAATTTTATTTGTTGCAGATAACTGCCTGCATTTGGTAATATTGGATCTATCTTTGATGTTTAGTGATGTTTTATGGTTCAACTTGTGTGTTTTATACTTGTTCAGATAACTGGTGTAAGATTTTTATTTATTTCATTTATTTTTATTACCAAAGAGGACTAGTGTTTTGTGTTAGCTACGCTCATTAATTGACTTTACATTTTATTTGATGTAGGTGGAAATGGTGCCAAGTAAGAGACTTAATGTGCAGAAATTTCATCTTGGGGGCACTCCAAGGAAAGTTCTATATCATAATGAAAGCAGATTGTTGCTTGTCATGAGGACAGAACTAGATAACGATTCATGGTCGTCTGATGTTTGCTTTGTGGATCCTTTGAGTGGTGCTATCTTTTCATCTTTTAAATTTGAACCTGGGGAGACAGGTAAGTGCATGGAGTTTGTAAAAGTTGGAAATGAGTACGTGCTGGTGATTGGAACTAGCCTATCTGCTGGACCAGCTATAATGCCTAGTGGAGAAGCTGAAAGGTCTTAACTTGAATGCAGCCATAAATTTTCCTACTTTTAGATGTTGTATCTTTATTATCCCTAGTGTTTGAAGTTAAGTGGTTGGTTTGCCTGGATTCTGGTTTGTTAGTTGGAGACTCTCCTGCAATCAGTATCTTTTCATTTACACTTCTTGTGGCGCGTGTTTTTTACAGTACTAAAGGCCGCCTGGTGGTTCTCTGCCTTGAGCACATGCAAAATTCAGACAGTGGTTCTGTTACCCAACGAAATTCACCTGGTGGTGGCTATGCTGCAGAGCAATTTTCTAACAGTAGTCTCTGCAGCAGCCCAGATGATAATAACAGCTGTGATGGAATCAAACTTGAAGAAACCGAAGCTTGGCATTTTCGCTTAGCTTTTTCAACCCCCTGGCCAGGGATGGTCATTGCTGTCTGTCCTTATCTTGACCGTTATTTCTTAGCCTCTGCCGGTAATTCTGTAAGTCATAAAAACATTTTTATGTCTGTGCACTGAAAAATATGTGTTTCTCCTTTGCTTTATGTTGACAATTCTAAGTCATTTTATATTTATTTGGAGCCTTTTTCATCCTAGCCTTCTGTATCTCCCATAGTATGTTTTACTCTTGTGGAGCTTCTAAGAGTATATTCTTATTTTCTCAGTTTTATGTTTGCGCGTTTCCAAATGATAACACTCAAAGGGTGAGAAGATTGGCTGTGGGCAGAACTCGGTTTACTATTATGACTCTGACTGCACATTTCACCAGGATAGCTGTTGGTGATTGCCGTGATGGTGTTCTTTTCTATTCATACCAAGAGGTCTGTGGAAATCCTTTATAGCATGTGGTTTTATTTTCTAATTTGTTCTATTCTAGTAAATGGCTTTTTGTGAACCCAGATGGATGTCGTCCATAAAACGAGATAAATAGTATTAGGTTAGATATCTATTGTCCATTTGGTCATTTGGTGTGATTTGCTATATTACAAACATCATTTACTATATGCACTCAGGATTCGAGAAAACTGGAGCAAGTTTATTGTGATCCTGTTCAGAGGCTTGTTGCTGATTGTGTTCTTGTGGATGTTGATACTGCCTTCATTTCAGATCGGAAGGGAAGCATTGTTGTCATGTCATGTGCAAATTATTTAGAAGGTGAACTGCATTCTGCACCTAATTCAGTGGACTGATTCTATGTTGGTTAGCGTCTGTTGCTGCGTCTTGCTATAGAAGTAATATTTTTGTAGCATCTAGCTTCTACAATTCATTCAAGCAGCTTAGGCTGCTTTTTTCTTCAATTATTTACTATGTCAAATTCTAGAACGTTTACTGTATCACCCGAAGCCCCCCGAGCAGCATTTCCAGTTACATTTTTCTACCTTGAAGTTTGATGTCAGTTATACCAGTTCCCTTTCTATTTGGGACTGTATCAACAAATGAAAAGTTGGTCTTTCGGAATTTACAAGACCTTCCACACTATTTTTCCAACAGTAGGCACATTTTATTTTCATGTTAGTTTTTTTATCAAAAAACAAATATCCCCACTAGTGTATAAACTCAGATTTAAGTTTAAGTTAGATTTTGTTTCAAGAATAGAACTCTCTCCAATGTAAGGTGGTTGCCTTGATCTTTTCGGACAAATTACTGCGACTCTACAGAATATGCATCAATTGGACAAACCTTGTGGTTGCCTTGAGGTAGTGTAATTGAAACTACTTCCGGAGAGATATGCGTGTAATTGTGACCCGTAGTGGACAGGCTACTTTAATGAAGGTAAATGAATTATTGTAGAAGCTTGTGTTCCCTGGTTGGTAAGTGGGAGAAAAAATGTGGCACTGGTGTGTAATTCTGATTGAACTAACCTTGTACAATGCTTGTTCGTTCAACAAGCATGGTAAACTGGAAAAATATGTGAGTTAGAGAATTACATTGCATAGTGGATATTTTTATATAACATAAAATGAAAAAATTAACATTGTTTTGATAAATTTGTCTACCTGGTCTTGTATGATTCAATTGAAGCATCTTATTGTTATTTTGTAAACACATTGGATCCTTCGTCTAACTGTTATCTATGTATCGCATAACCTTGTGTTGCAGATAATGTAAGTCCAGAACGCAACTTGACTCTAAGTTGTTCATATTATATGGGTGAGATTGCCATGAGCATGAGAAAGGTAATGTTCCCTGGAGGTTGTAAAATGAAATAATGCAATTATGTATTGTTTGTAAATGAACATATGTTAAAATCAGGTTCATGCAAAGATGATTTTTTATAGGGCATTTAATAACTCTCTATTAATTAGATTCATTTAATGATTATAACCAGAGAAGCTGTCAAACACTAGTTACAGAAAGAGAGCAGTTTATGGTTTTTAGCTAGTGTTGCTTTAGCTTGGACTTGAATCATACAACTGCTGTTGAAAGTATCAATAACAAATCATGTATTGAAGCCAAGCAACTCATACATCAGTATGAAAGGAAGAAGAGTTTAGGTCTCTCACTTAATTACTGTTTATTAACAAAATTGGAATGAGGAATGTCAAGAAAAAACATTTTCAAGAGTTTACAGTAAAAATTTTAAGGAGGTGGAATTATGCAACAGAACTGCAAATATCCTGGAGCAAAAATGAGTTTCTAAGAACTTTAATATAATGGTTGGGTGTTGCGATCGAAAAGCATATATTTCTAAGGAGCCAAGTCATTTCTTCTGGGCTAAGCTGTGGTTTAATCATCTTCAAAGCTATGCTATCTGTTTCAAGGTCTCAGTGTCTCGTACAATTCTGTTTTGCACGACTTGCATTTTCTTATTTTGTCTTCATGTAGGGATCATTCTCATACAAACTCCCAGCTGATGATATGTTGAAGGATTCTGATGGCGCTAATAATAATGTTAAATCGTCGCGCAACTGTATCATGGCATCAACGCTATTGGGGAGCATAGTAACCTTCATCCCAGTGGCAAGGTTTGCCTCATTCCTTGTTTCTTTTAATTTCTTTAAATGGCCTCAGTGACAAAGGATGAACTGTTGAGTGTGGACATATGATTCCTTTGCTACCCAAGAAAAAGGTCCAATAAGAACAACCTTCCTTACTATGCCTAATCTAAAAACTTATATAATAATTGTGTTTGTGAACACTGTGCTCATAATTTGTAAAAATCTTGTATAATTCAATTATTGTACTTCTAGTCCTATGATGATTGCTGGCCTTATTCCATTAAATATTACTTTTGGCAGAGAGGAATATGAGCTATTAAAACATGTCCAGGCTAGGCTAGTGGAGAACCCTCTTACTGCTCCTATTTTGGGAAATGATCACAGTGAGTTCAGAAGCCGTGAAAGTCGGGTGAGCTTTAATGAACTTACTCCACTCTTTTGTTCTTTTCTCAATCTTCAATTATTCCATGGGCTGCTGTGGAAGCACTGTCAGCTTTAACTGTATTGAACATTTTAGTCCACAGCCTGGCCTTTTCATGTGATGGCCTGGAAACTTGGTATTCAATGCTCTTATGTGAACAGTAGATAATACTTTTTTCTGCCCAAAATTGTGTGAATTTATTATATTTACAAAAATATTTAAAAGGAACTTAAATATTATTTTGTTTACCAAAAACATTGCCGAGTGTATGCATGTTGTGAGAAACGTATACTACCTTTAATCTGTTGGTGCCAACACTCGATCCAAGTGTATGTGAGACAAGAAGACGGACAGCTAACTTTACTTTGTTCTGTTGTTCAATCAATCGGATGGGTAGGCCGGAATACCCAAGATGCTCGATGGTGACATTTTGGCGCAATTCTTGGAGCTCACAAGCTTGCAGCAACAGGACGTGTTGGCACCTCCAACCACCATTATGTCCAGCTCCAAATCATCCACGCGAGTTATGGTTAACCAAGTTGTTAGACTGCTTGAACGCGTACATTATGCCGTAAATTAGATCTCCATTCCCTTTGTGGCTCTTTGCTCTGCTCCCAAAGCATGGAAATTTGTTGACTGGGCGTTAAGCAGATTGAGTTTCAATGATTATGAGAAATGTACCCCCGTCATCATGTGGGCAATGCAAATCCTTGTACAGGGTCTCCAAAGTTTTGGGTTATGGAAACAAGGCCATTCTCACCCTACTTCCTTCTTACAACAAGCTCCTTGCCGTGAATAAACTATGAAATGCAAACACCGGTTATTCTCTGGGGTGATAGTCATGGGTCCTAGGCTGTAAAATGTTTAACTTTAGTTTGTATGACTTTGATTGTAAAGATTTTTTTCATGCTGCTCACTCGTTTTTGGGTTTGGTTAGTCTTCTTCTTGTATGATAATAGCCATAACTAATCAAACTCAAAAGTATTGTTGATGGTGTATAAGATGTTCAAACTTATCATCATATTTGTTTGAGGGTGATACTTTAATTGGTGTTTGGGGATATCAATATCATCATGTGTATGGATTGAATACGCGGCTTTGTTTGTTTCCTGTGGTGGTAAAAGTCCTTGCTTTGAAGGAGAAATCTAACAGATTTTGTTGTATATAGTTTGCAAGTCGGAATATAAAGAATTTATTTTGTATTTGTGTGATTTCTCTTGCAAATATATTATTAAAATTTAAATGGACCACAGAGATTTTGTTATGATGGTAAAAGTGAAATGCGGGTACTTATTAGATAAATAAACAAACTCAATCACAAATAAGGCTGCAAACGAATCGAGCGGCTCGCGAGCGCTTGAGTCAAAGCTCGACTTGAGCTCGAGTTTGACCGAATTCGAGTCGAGCTTGAGCTCATATTTTGCATTGTTGAACGGCTTGAGATACATGATAAATTACTAAAATATATATTACAATAGTATAACATAAGTGTTTAATTGTAATTTTATTTTAATTTTCGAGCCGAGCTCGAACATTTTGATTTCAAAGTGAGCTCGAACTATTGTAATTATTTATCAAGCTCGAGCCTCATAAATCGAACTCGACGAGCTCGAGCTCGAGCAACTAAAAAAAAGAAAATGCTTGGCGCTGCTCGACTCGTTTAGATCCCTAAATTCACGAACAACAATTTTTATGGAAAAGTTTTGGTACGTTATATTTGTCAAATAATTTAATTAGTATAATTGATTTGTCTCCAAATTCATTGTGTATGCTTTGTATGGTTAATACAACTAAGTTCTGTCATCTGCAAGACTGCAACATAATTTTAGTTTTTTCAAGAAAACAATAATAATTACAAAACAGCATCTTTCGCCTAATACGTTTTTTCAAGCAACGGCATTGCTTTTTCTCGCTCTCCGACTTTGTAGACTTTGCAACGTATTTGCTTACCTCAGCATGTGCAGCTGTTAATATTAATTAATCAAAGAAATCAACTTTTCAACCTTGAGCCTAAGACCATAAATACACAGTTCAGCTTCCTAAACACAGACAAACAGATAAACCATTCCAAAAGCCAAACTCGATCGATGGCTACAATTACAAACGCCAATGCTCTGCCCCTCAATGGCAGAGTAGCGATAGTCACCGGAGCTTCCCGCGGGATCGGCCGTGCAGTTGCTATTCACCTCCGCTCCCTCGGCGCCAAGCTTGTTATCAACTACGCTTCCAATTCCAGCCCAGCCGATCTACTGGTTTCCGAGCTCAATTCCGGCGCCGATCCGGTCTCCATCGCCGTCAAAGCCGACGTATCGAACCCGGACGACGTCAAATTGCTCTTCGATCGAGCAGAGCAGGCCTTCAACACCACGGCTCACATTCTCGTAAACTGCGCCGGGGTTCTAGATCCAAAATACCCAGCCCTAGCCGACACGGCGGTCGAGGTCTGGGATGCGACTTTCGGCGTGAACGCTAAGGGCGCTTTTCTGACCTGCCGCGAGGCGGCGAACCGATTGGCTCGAGGCGGCGGCGGGAGGATTGTCCTGGTATCGACCTCGGTCGTGGGGTCGACGCTGCCTGGGTACGCGGCGTACGCAGCGTCGAAGGCGGCGGTGGAAACGATGGCGAAGATCGCGGCAAAGGAGCTGAAGGGGAGCGGGATAACGGTGAACTGTGTGGCGCCGGGGCCGGTGGCGACGGAGCTGTTCTTTGCGGGGAAGAGCGATGAGGTTGTGCAGAGGATGGTGGAGGGGTGTCCGATGGGCCGATTGGGAGAGCCCAATGATGTGGCCCAGTTAATTGGGTTCTTAGTTACTGATGGTGGGGAGTGGGTTAATGGCCAGGTCGTTCGTGTCAATGGTGGACTTGTTATTTAAATCAAGCTTCAACTCAACTTTTCATGTCGAATGTACTTAAGTTTTGCAATCAATAAAATATTTTGTTCTTAGAATCACAGTATGTGTGTAAAAGAGTAGGTGAGAATGAGTTTGGATTTAGATTCTTTGAAGATTTCATAAACCCAAACAAAAGAGACAGAAAAAGTAATAAATAGAGGTTTGCTGATCATCACATCACCTCTCAAAGTCTCAAACACAGCAAAGGCACAAGCACTCAACCTCCGATGGTGACGGCCCTACAAGTACTCCGACAGCTCTGGTATCTCCTTCTTCACCGCTATCGTATACGAAACCATCTCTTGGCTGCTCATCTACCGCACAAATCCCTCAAATCCACCATCGACAAACAAGGCCTCCAAAAAGCTCGAGACCATGAAAACCACTGATGCGAAATCATCCAAGACCAAGAAGATGTACTCGCTCAAGGAATCGAGTAGTTGGATGAAATTTAGTTGCTTGGCTGCTCATCTACCGCACTCAACCGTTGCTTGTATGCCGTATAAATTTAGTTGGATGAAACTTGTTGCATGCACTAGAGTTGTTCCGAACCAGAGAAGGAATCTGAATCTCGGTTGTTATGAAGATGAGTTATGTTTTGTTATGTTTTCATTTTAATTTTATTTTTGCAGTTTCGCATTTTTGAACGGGCTAACTAATTATTGTAATTGTATAACAAGATTTAGATAGAACTCTTCATTCCTCTATTAACAGATTGAAGCTTCTCTCTTGCACTAAGATGATTGAATTAGTATTATTGATTGGTTTGTTTTTCATGTTTCACCCTGTAGGCCTATTCATTGTAGAAATTGTAAAAGGCTCATTTTGAAGTGTAGACATGGGGCTCTACTGATGTTTAAATGGATTGGGTTTGATAGAGAACGATTAATGGAGATGTTGGTGCTCTGTATTGCTTCATAGTTGGTTAATTAGTTTGTTGGGGAAATTGGATTCAAATAATGATTAAAAAAAAAAAGAAAAAAAAGTAAAAGTTAAAACACTTTAAACTCATAATATTTGGTTGTTGTTTTTTTTTTCTCAAATGTTAACATTTTATGAAATTAAAAAACAAAATGCATTCGAGATGTCTTGTATCACTAAACACTCATTAAAAGAGTCAACAAAACTCCAACAACACTAGTGACTATAAACCGAGCACAACTGGGACTTTCAAAAAACGCAAAGAAAAATAAAAACAACACACCAAAACAAAAAAATTAAATTAAAACATTTCATACTTTTAGAGGGCCTAAGCACACACGCCAGTCCCGGCTAAGAATTAAATGAATCAAGAGAAAGTTAAGAATTTGTGAAATTACAATAAAGATAAATAAAAAGAACGATGAATACTACAAGGCTCGTAAAGAAGAGATTGCTAAGAGAATGATATAGCTCATGAATACGAAATCGAGCAATCAAATGCTAAGTTATTGCTAAGAGAATGATATAGCTCACGAATACGAAATCGAGCTAAGTTAGAAACTAGTCCGACAATCATACCAACCATTTGACCGAATTAAATCAACACAATATATTTATCCCCAATACTACAATAATGTCTACTAAACATGCACATTTTTCGCCATAACTACAAGTCTTTCGAAACTCTTTAACTTTAAGTATGTCAAACAATCAGTTTTGCTATGAAGTCAACAATTGGCTCCATAGTGGAACCTACCTTCTATATACAAAAGTAAATCATATCATATTAATAAAATTATTCGTATTTATTTAAGTAATTAGAGAATAAAGTATGATTTACTTGTTGTATATAGAAGGTTTGTTCCACTGGCAACTGTGTCATAGCAAAACTGGTCAAACAATTACTATAGCCACCAATCAATTCTTAACTAATATTCAATCACAAAATCACATATTACGCTAATGGTAGGGATGTTTATCCTATCATATTCAACCAAATTTTCTCCAACATTCGCAACAAACAAGCTTAAAATCACAAGCCTTAACGGAGAAAAATATAATTTTAGAGCATCTTAAAGATACCTTAAAGAAAAATTGAATAATCATTATATTAGTCTACGAACACATAAAAAATATTGAATAATGCTAGTTTGACAATATTTTGACATAATGGATGACATAAAAGATGTTTAAGTGTAGGAATTATTAATTTTTAAAATTGATGTAACGTGTAAATCAAATGATCTTGCCATGTGTGTATTATGTCAAACTTTATGTCAACTTAATTCAACAAATATTTGTTCAGTGACTAGCCAAATGATCTTGCCATGTGTGTATTATGTCAAACTTTATGTCAACTTAATTCAACAAATAATTGTTCAGTACTAGTCACTGATTTGAGAAAAAAAAAAAAGTCTCAAAAAATAAATACAAGATTTGATCAGAATCTAATAACAAGATTTATGTATGCGCTTTCTCCAATTTTCAAAAGCATGTAATCCTACAAAAGGGAAGTATGCAAATTCCCATCAAGATTCAACTAATGATAAAAAAGTAATAGACCAGTACATGCATGGACACATAATAACGTAAGATTGCCATTCCATATAATCGATCAAGATTCATCAAATCACACACACTCAATTTGCAGTTTATAGCAGATTCAGAAAAGTTCATCTCATTTGTAAATGTGGTAGATAAACTTGATCACTAAAACCATATCCTGAAGACCCAAAACATTTATTACGATCAGAGCATTTTACCATCACTCCCACAAAAGAGCATTTGGGATAACTGAAAGTGGGGCAATTGCTACAAGTGTTGATTCAATCCACAATTTGGACTCACTCCACATTTTGTCATAAGGGAGCATGAAAAGCTTTAGCTTTTAGTAAACTCACAAACTTACGTATCTCGAATTTGAATTTCCTATTCCAATCTTTGCCACACTTTGGCATTCTGCTAGTGACAAGATTACATACTGTAAAGCGATATATGGACGGCCCACATTCATTCCAACCTCACGCACGCGTCATTCATCCGATCGAGCAGAACAAAAAAGAATGTGGGCCCCACTTGCTCTTTGGATTTACAAAACCCGCAACCTGCATGCCAAAATTTTAAATCTCATCTCCATTCATTGAATTTCCGTCAAAAGCATTTTCGACTTTTTGTTTCATTCCGCGTTTTTTTTCTGTTCTTGGGAAAGAATTAATAAAAATTACATACATTAGATTAATAGAAAAGAAAACAAGATTTCTGTCATACAACACATTACTGTAATAAAGGTTTCCACCCGAAAAGCAAACCGCATTTTCGTCATGGCATTGGATCGCCATTAATTAAGTATATTATTATTATTGTTTTTGTTCTTTTTGCTATAAAAACCCAACCTGCCTGCTTCTCAACCACCTAGCTCATTTGTATTCGAAAAAAGGATGCGCATGGCAAGAAAACGCAAAATTGGGTATGAGGAGATGAGTGAGGATCTGGAAAGAAAGGAGATGATGGAGCTGACAAAAATGGCCAAGGCCTGGGAATTCACTTGCTCCTTCTGCTTCAAGAAATTCCCTTCGGCTCAGGCAATGGGCGGCCACCAGAACGCCCACAGGCAAGAGCGCATGGAGGAGAGGCGCCTCTACATCAAGGACCCCATTGGGTACCGTAAGCGGGCCTACATAAAGTCCATGAACATCAAGGAAGCTGCTGCAGCCCAACCATCCGGCCCAAAACAAGTCTTCAAATTCCAGTTCCTCAACATTAATAATAATAATGCCCCACCCCACAATGGCCTTGTGGAATTTAATGCTTCTGCTGCTGCTGCTTCTTCCAGTGTTAATAATAATACTTACAATAACAAAAACTATTTTTGCCAGCCGGCCTTTGTTGTGATGAACTTTCTGCCGCCAAAGGAACTTAGCCTTGTCAACACTGTCGGTGGAAAGGCGCGTATGGAGATTGATGGTGTCGGTGGCAGTGGAGTGTATTCGGAATTAGAGAAGAAGCTGGATTTGACTCTCAAGCTGTAGAAGCTGTTTATATATTATTTAAGTTTTTGTGATATATATCTATATGATGAACTCCAACTCCTAACTAGAATGAAATGGAGGATTAAATAAAGCGGCATGCTATGATTATAATATATTAAGATCTGTAGTTTCGGTTGANAAAAAAATTCAAGAAATGTTACTGATTATCTCAATTAACTATTAAGAATTAAAAACTATTTATTTCTATATCATGATCAGGATCTCTTATCTTTTTTTCTTGTTTTTTTAGCGTATAATCTCTTCAATTTTTTTCTTGCGATGTGCTTGATGACGTCCATGGTGCCATTTGTTCCATTTTCTTAAGAATTTGATTTTGTTGATCGAATGATAGGTCTATATATAATTTTGTTATATGTGATTCCATTGGCACGAGATAACGTATATATTATTGTAGTCGTTGGTTTCATATTAGATTTTGCCAATGCAGTCACACTTTGGAATGCGTGAATACGAACGGAAATGTGCATTGTATGCTTGATTCATTGATTGATGTATAAAAGTGAAAAATGATAGTATCTGAATTCTGATGTTCGAATAATATCGTGTTTGGGATGAGCAAACTCATAACATGTAAGAAACTTAAGGTGACATAGGTTTTTCACTTTGAGATCCTTCTATTACATGGATAGATCACTCAACAACATGGATTAGAATCTATGGGTAAGTTTGCGGATTCACTATAATATAGTTATAACGTAAACTTTTCTTTATTACACCGTTGTCGTTATTTATCTTTTTGACTTTAAGCTTAACCGCTATACTTATTTCAGTTTCATTACCAGTCATCATGGGACCCACTATGACCTATCCAATGAGTCATAGGCAAAACCACTTCACATTTCACACACAAAATAAAATATCAATTCCAAAGAAACAACCACTGCTGTAGTGCTGTTACCCATATATACACTACGAAATTTGTGTTGCAAAAGCATTCAAAAGGTTAATTGGAAAAACACTACAGAAAGACAAAACAGGATAACTATCTCCTGAAGCCAGTCACAAGAAGTTAATGTACGAATCTCACAAAATCACCATTCTTCAAATTATCCCTCGTTAGTTCATCATTTTCAACTCCTTGGGACTTTGTTTTTTACGCTTAGCCACGAGTATCCACATGTTTGCCAGCTCATTCTCAAGATAAGCCTCTCTCTGTTTCGATTCTTCGACTTTCCTCTGCAACTCGCCTTCAATTTGTTGCTTCTCAGCAAGTATAGCTTCATATAAATGCTCTCTTTCACGGCTCACTGCTAATTCTTTCTTCATCTCTGAGGCTAAGACACCTGTTTCTTGCTTTTTGGAGCTATAATATTTCCCTCCGTTCCTGGTGGGAATGGAGGAACGCAGCTGAGCTGGCGGCTTCTTTTGAACTTCAAGCTCGGCAGATAATCTCTCATTGTGGTTCATTAGCTTTGCGACTTCTTCAGAGAGGGCCTTCAGCTCGACTGCTGCAGCCGATGCCAAACCCTTTGCATACGAGCTCTCATCCGCAAGTTTCTTATTGCGCGCCACCAGCTCCTCCTTTGACTTGATTACTTCACCCAGTTTTTTGATTAGTTCTTCAACATCGTTTGCCTAAGAGGTTTAAGGATATAGATGCATTCCAACATGACATTTCCTAAATCTAATTTGAAAAAAGGTACAAAATTCTAGAAATGTGAAAGCAGGGATGCCTCTCTCATACACATTAATATCCCTGATTTGTAGGATCCGCTCGTCATGCCTTTTTCTCTCTCACTGTTATTTTTCTTCAGTTTCTTGTTCAAAAAAATTCGGGAGGAGCTGAAATTAGAAGAGGTAACAGTTGGAAACCTGTTCTTGGCGAAGCATCGTAGTATTTTGATCCTTCTGTGACGAACTTTCTTTTCCAATTTGCCTTTCAATGTGCAATCTTCTAATTTGGCAAAAGCCTTGCAAATCACTGGTCTATGGAATCGAACTTCTCTGTTCAACGGCACTGCTGAGCTGTTGTCTTAATGAGGAGATTGTTCCTTGCAAATCCTCACATTCCAAAGTCTGAAAAAATTATTTACAGCTATATATTATAATCAGATAAGAAGGTGCAGATGGCAAATATAGTGCAAAAACAGGGTGGCACCTTTTGGTTCAGCTGCTCCTGGATTATCCTATTATCCACCGCTTGGACCTAGTAACAACAAAGTAAAGCGGATATTACAGAAAAATAACTACATTTGAGTTTGTTTCACTCCAGCCTCCAAATAATAATAATACCGATGTGAACACAATAACCGCAAAATTAGGTTCATGAAAAAGGATGACAGTTCCTCCACTGATGATTAAACCTTTCTGATCGTGTGACCACAATGTTAAAAGTTCCAAAGGTATTTTGATCTCGACATTGTCAAGTGACGATGAGATCCTCAAGTTATATTATTTCAAGTTCAATAAATGATAGGGTACAGATGTACAAGTTACATTACCTCAAGTTCAAAAGACTTCTCATTTAATAAAACCTTTGTAATACCTAACGTAAATTTTAATAATAACTTCGTAGTAATATAGTTCATCGAGTGACTATCAGTATCATAATGTAAGAAGATTCTAATTCTTCTCTTCTCAAATATTTTAACAAACTCGTTGTTTCGTTTTATTTTGTTTAGTTCTATTTTTTTTTTTTTCCAATAAAGGATCTTTATCTTGAATTTTCGAAGCATTATGTATGTCGCAAAAAAATTGGACAATAAAAGCATTAAAGAAGTTATTAAGCACATAAGTACTGCAAATCGAAGAAATGTGAAAGATATTATGATAAACAACACTAAAATCATTGCAACAACAATATACTCCCTCCTATTTTTATTATTTGTCGTTTTGAGAAGCAACACGCTAATTAAGAATTTTTTTTCCTGTCAATATTAACTCTATTTAATGGATGTTATGATAAATGATGGAGATGTGATATGAAGAGACACTATGTATTAGACGGAGGGGTAAAAATGGAAAAATATGAGCAAAATAGCCAAAACGAATGAAATTGTCTCTTTTTTCTAGGAATATTTACAATCTCATTGTGTATTTATGTGCAATTAATTTACAGTACGTACTTTCATGTAATGTGACGATTTCCAAAGTAATTTAGCGTCTCAGGAAAGTACATGTAACCAAGAATTTGGAAAGTGAACATTTATTTGAAGATGAAATTCATTCCCACCCCGTAAGACAATGACTCCATGGGGTAGGTACCAAATACTAATTGTCTATATGCACATAATAATGAAGTAGTTTATACAATGATAACAAAATATCAACAATTTAATGATATAGTTGGTTATTTTACAAATTATTCATGAACTGTTTATAAAAATACCTTGTAAAGATTATGCAATCATGAAATTTAACTATATGTTTGGTCAAAATATTTATAAGTGTTTGAATAAAGTAGACGTTTTACCAAATGGATTAAGAAAAATTTTGTAATACTATTGAAATACTGGGCTCCAACGAGTATGAATATTTCTTATGAAAGCATCAAAACCAAAATAAGAGAAAAATCTTTAATCATCTAACATAATTAAATAAAATAACTAATGCATCTATAATATACATTAGGTCGTTATTTACTTATTTAGTGTTTTTTTTTTCCTTTCCATTAAGGATTATATCTTTGCTGAGGTTGTCATATGTTATTTCATTTGTTTTTATATTAGGACATCATTGATTCATTATGTTATTTAAAAAAAAATATTAAAAGTTCATTTGTTCTATATTTACTTTGTTCTTCTAATGATATGTTTAATAAATTAATTAATTTATTTTATTAAATTTAATCGAAATAAAACATTTACCACCACGTCACGTGCGATGCACTCGTGCACTTTACTAGTTATGCAAATGCGTATCTTTTCTTTTTCCCCCTTTTCGCCCTACCATCTTTATGATGGCCTGATATATATGTACAAGAGCCTATCTTTATCATGGTCTAGTGCCAATACCATTAATTATTAAGATTTCAGTCCCATTCTCAAAATATACTTTTCCCAAAATATGTATGAAACTATAGAATGAAAACTTAAACCTTAAACTTGTCCTTTTCTCAGAAACTTAGTTGTATCACCTCATTAAATTATTTAGCAAGCAACGATGATATCATGGGATATTTCTAGTCAACTGTTTGAACAACCACTAAACTCCATGAGCTTAAAAGGACAATTGATAAAAACATTAATATAGGCAATTGACCCTTGTTTGAGTATCAAAGTCTTGACATCTATGTCCATACATCCAATATATTTATATAAGTACGGGAAAATCAAATAAATTTGTTGTTTTTCAATTATTACCATAACTGGCAATCTATATCCATATAAAAAGATTTGATTATTTTTAAGTAGTAACTATTTCCCTTCAAAAAAATCTATTTACTATTTTAGGAAATTAATTTAACAATTTATAGTATATATCAAAAGATCACTTATGAAAATTGCAGTTCATTATTTAAGGAAGTAATTAAGTCATATTTTAAGATACCTTAATTACTCAAATCATGTGAATTAAATAATATATTGTATAAAGTGGACGAATTTATTTTTTGTATTGATAGTTATTTCTATATGAAATAAAATATGTGATATAAAGTGAGCAAATTTGTTTAGGTTATTTGATAATTGTTTTTTGGGAGAAAATTTGTTGAAAAATTAATCAATATACGGTGTACTTTTTTCTGTAATGTGCATGTCAATGTATTGGTTTTTAGGCGTGGGTTTCAATTTTTATTTTAAATTTTTTGTATAAAATTAACATAATAAAATTACTGTAATTCCAAAAAAATAATTTGAATGGATATTTTGAGGCGTGTACCGATGTCTTTTTTTTTTATAGAAAAAAAGCTCTGGTCAATTTGTTTTTGTATAATTAGTGGGTCTCAATTTAATTCATTTTTTGTTACGATATTTCAAATAATTTTTGTGTGAAATGCACTGTTTGTTTGTTTTAGCATGATAAAGTGTGTCCATTTTTTTGGCATGAAAAATCTTATGACTGATTATTTTTACTCAACTACTTAAATTTTTTGATTTGGATATTTTATACAAAAATAAATTTATTTTAATTAATGAAAAAATATAAGTTTTATATTTATACTTATTATTCACATTGGTTTATAAATATATGATAAAATTTTACCAAAATAATTATTTTATGAAATCACGTTATAGTCAAATCGAATTTCTGAATAAAGATTTTAAAATGACATGTTTTGAAACGAATATAATGTAATTTATTATCAGTTATGGACAATGTACGGGTTGTGTACTAATTTTAAATAGACATCTTTATGTAATTTTTTATAATTTAAATTTTATATAATATTTTTAATTAATTAATATAGGTATATTGTATTACATATAAATTTCATGTTTTTAATTTATATATATTATTTAATGAGAATTTTTAATTTATAAACATCAATGAATATCTCTTACCGTGAATACCTTTTACCGTGCATCGCACGAGATTCATACTAGTTTTTATCAAAAAATAAAGATTTGTATGCATATAAAACTAAGATTCTATAGTAGTTGTAATATTAGTTAGAATTTATGAGAATCTCTATCTAATTTTGCCAAAACAAAATCAACAATCTATATATATATATATAATAAGAATTACCATTTACTAAATATAGTAGCAAAAAATTTAGAAAACATTTAACGCATGCCGTTTTTGGAAACTTTTTAAATATATACATTGATTGCTTACATATACACGTTTTCGAATAAGATCAAATAAGATATGATCAAAAAATTAAATACATTTATTAATATCTGCAATATTTGCATTGATATTTATTATAATAAATTACAAGATTGATTTCCATAATCCATGTTGATAATTTTTTGGTCAAGATAAATATTATTTTGTTAATATTTGTAATACTTTCATTGATATTCATTATAATAAATTACAAGATTGATTTCCATGATTCATGTTGATAATATTTTGGTCAAGATAAATATTACACTATATTTTAAGTTCTAACCATAATATAATTTTTCCTTTTTCACAAATATTCACTTTTTATACAAAATATTTATGGAAAATCGTACAGGTTAGGTAGAATTGTTTTTCCAAGTAATCTGACAAAATCAAGTTGGTGAATTAATTTTTGCCAATTTTTTTCTTACGCTTTATTTTGTTAAATATAAAAAATAAATTGTTCTTCAAATTAATATAATTTACCATTTAAGAGATAATGACCATATACATTAAATATTTTTACTAATGGTAAAAAATTAAAATTGATATATATTAACTATTTTTTAGAATTTATTTGTACATTATTGGCACTCATGATTATTTTTTTCCATTTTTTTATTTTGATTTATTTCTATAGTTAAATTCTTGTAAAATAAATTTTCATTGCAGAGTATGCTAAATAAACTATAAATCCTTATAATGCGAATTAGATAAATCTTGATCATAGAAGAGATTGAGTTTTTGGAAAATTTTAAATCAAATTTGTTTAATTAATATACAAAATTAAATTCTAAAAAAACATGTGTATATTTTGTAAAATATTTACACACTATTTAATTTTAAATTTATTTACATATTTTAAATTGATTACATAAATAAATAATACTTGTGCATTAAATATTTTTCATTACATAAAATAAAAAAAAAAAAAGACGTACAACTTCCATAACTTTATAAATAATAATGACATTATACGACAACAAAGTTTATAATAAAATAATAATTAAGTATTATATGGTGAACAAGAATAAATAAAATTGTTATTCTCTCTTGTATCAAGGAATAAATATATATATACTAAAATCAAATTTATATTAGTATAAATGTATTAGTGAGATAATATATTAATTATTTTATTACACTTAACGCTGATTAAGAGAGGTGAAAAATATATGATAATCCTATTGCTTTATATACTTCAACGGACAAAGACTGTAAAAATAACTCATTTAATATAGATGTCCCGTGCATCGCCGCACGGGGTACGTACTAGTAATATATACATATATGTTGCCTCTGCTCAACTAAGCACTTCCGAAAATATATGCTTATTGGTGGGCACAAAAACTACTTAGAAAAAGTTTTTGATGAAGCAATGTTAAACTTTTTTTTGGGTATTCGATTAAAGAATACAATTTTTTTTCGTAATAAATAAATAAAATTGGGTATAATTAATTAGACAAATTAATCCTTCAAGGCTGTAAACCAAATCAAATCACACGGTTGTTCAATTCAAGCAGAAGCAATACGTAGAATTTATTCCCCAAGCTGAAGACAATGAACAACGAGAAATTTGGAGCAGAGAAATTCTGGGTCCCAAATAAAAAAGAAACGTTTTATTGAAGTGAAAAAAGTTCTTTTACATAAAAAGTACACCAAAACTCCAACAGGCATGAAAAGAATAAAATCTCTCATATTCCATTGATGGCTCCAGAAACATTTTTCAGAATCAATCAACTTATCAAAAGATACTTCATGAATTCATCTCAGCTACAAGACGATGGTAAGTCTGGTGATCGGAAGTGCTCTTAAAGCCCGGAATGAAATCACAAAAGAATCTCAAAACAGCAGCTACATGTTGTGGGTCCTTAGACGAGTAAGCCGCTTCAAGAAACAATGAGGGCCGGACTGTATTCACCTGAAATCCAACAGAATCTTCTTCAGAATCATGGTAGTTAAGTTCCGGCTAATTTTCTTCCAAGAAGAAACAAGATTATGCATACTATACAGAGTTTGAGTACATTGTTCCTCTGCACATGCATTTAAGCAAAATACTTTTCAACAAAACCTTTTTGTTTTCATATTCTCTTCAACTCAAAATGAAGCATTGTGACTTTATCATCAGACAGGAAATACATACACCAATAAAAAGGTCGGACAACACTTTCGGCATTTAAGCATTACTTTTCTTAAAATGTAATATTCTGAAGACATAATTTATCACCTTATTCTTCCGAGCGTAGCGTAGGGCTTCAAGATAATATCCATCTTGTACAAGCAATAAAATATAGTCATGATGTAACGAGAGCTCTCTCAGCATATCCAGACCTAACTTTCTTATCTCAATGTTCTGGCGGCCAGATTCCAGTAGTTGCAGTGCCACTTCCTTTGAATGCTCAATAATCTGCAATTTACATAGCATCTATTTATGTGTCTTTTATTTAACTAAACATATAACGACAAATACTCATTTGACGAACTGAACGTATTTTGCAGTTTAGTGTATAAATTCAAGACAATGAGTGACCTTGTTCATTACAAATAATCCGAGTTCGGCATATCTCTCATCCCGCGTAAGTATCTGTACCATGAGGACGTAGGTATTAGGATGCACCTTCAACTTTTCCAAGCTCGCACTGTGGAAGAGACAAAAAACAGAGGTACAATAATTAACAACAGCTGAAAATTTGGAAGACGTAAAAAGCAGCTAACTCCAAGACACCTTATACTAGCTTAAAAGATTCATATTTTCAGAAGAGGTAGCTGAAGTCAAGAATACCTCCGAAGAAATTCGACAATGATAGCCGTCAAGTATGACCCATCCCCCGCCATCTCCTCCTCAACTAGAGCGAAAACAGTTGTGTAGAAGTCCTCAGGCGAAGTAGCAGCCGAACAAGTCACTTGAGTTTGTTGCCGCCCAGAAGCATTAGGGTTCAACTGGTCATTAGGACTTTCTGTTTGACCAATAGAAGAAGGATCAAGGTTATGGGAGTTCAAAGTTAAACTACCATCGGAATCCGAGTTCGGAAGATTAGAACTGCTAATAGGTTCATTCTCGTTGCTGCTGCCAGGTTCTTCACTAGTCCTGCTTGGGTTAGAAGCAACGGATGGAGAAGTTTCCTCCGCTATAATCCTCTTGTAATAACTGCCTGTTTTAATTGCATGTGCATATGCTGCGAGTAGAGCATTTATTGCCGAGGAAACAACAGGAATGGGCTTCCGTTCCAAAATAATAGTGCGAACAACAGCCAAGCATAACTGTTTTGCCTGATAATAACCAGAAAAATGTTTCAACATTAATCTTAATGAAACTGAAAACAAGTAGACATATTTTCATGTACAACACGAATGATACTCAACCACAAATGTTTCTGAGCAACAGTAGTATTTACCTTGTCTGCTTCTAATTTCCTTCTTTGCAAAAATTCAAGGATCAGTGGAACTTCTGAGCTACTGGCTGAAATTGCCTGCAGAAGATGATAATAGTTAGAATTATTTTTCTTTTAAAAGAAACTACAAATAGTCACTCCACATGATGCTCTCGGCTATTAGAAACTTGCCTCCAGATCCACAATGATTTTCCACAAAAACCCGTTTGAAACATCGCATACGAGATCAGGAACAAGAAAGTTCCACCGATCTCCATAGATAGTAATTTCAGCATCACTTAGATCTTTCGAATCTGAACCCCCATAATCTTTGCAGTTAGTTTGAGACGATGCTTCGTTGGACTTTGAATAACCTCTCAGAAATAAAGGAAGGGGAGCAGAGATAGGTGTTTTTGAATCTTCATATATGTCGTATATAATGACAACCTTTGCTTCCACTTGATGAACCAGCAAAACATTATCAACTACACTCAATGCAATTCTATTGGAGTATGCTGGCAGAGAACCCTGAAATACAGAGCAAAAATAACATTATGGAAGAACACAAAAATAATAAGCACAATACTACTGAAACAACTGTCTTAAGATGCACCAAGATGGATCCATGTCATCATTTAATTGCCAAAAGTAATCTTCTCTCAGTTACAAATGGAGTACCTTACGTTTTTATATTGCTGGTAAAAAAAAAAAAAAAAAAAGTAAAAACTGTTTTGAATGCGTATCTTTCATTTGCATTTCCATCATAAACACTTAATAGCAAACTCAGATTGCCAAAACACAAATTGAGACAGCACGCACTTCTGTTAGGTAGTAAAAGATACATATATACATTTTAATATACTATGGATTTAAGAAAATAGCACTTGCCTGCTGCACTACAGCATCTCGATAAAACCTATACAAGTTGAGTACCATTGCAACTCTATCAAACTGCAGGCAATAAATCCGACCATACCTGTCAAATTTAGATAAGTACCAGGTATTAATAAACAGATATAATACTTTTTGGACATTTAATGAATTAGTTTGATATCCAAAGGAACAAAACATACACAGTGATGAGATGGACATCTTCGGCAGCAAGAACGGGCCTGTTATTACCCTCACTTTTGGCCATCACCATCTCGAACCTGGGTAGGCGGACTATTCCAGCAGATGACAACTAAAAGAAACAATAAATTTGTCATAACAAAGAAAAACTACTTGTAAGTACAAAAACAAAAAGCACTGTGTTGTTTAACGAAGGGATAAAATACAGTTATATACATGTCAAATTGACCAAAACAAAGGCGAGGTTATAAATTGTCACTGTAATATTGAAACCGTCATCATTAACATGACAATTACATATTGCTCACTCAAAGTAGTGAGCAGAGAGAACGATCTAAAAAAAAAATAAAGAGAGAGATACAATACTTGAAGAAAGGATTGGTAGAGGCCGGCAAAAATAAAGGGCTTTGGGATCAATTAGCCGAGTATATCCTCATTCCTACCTGATAACCAGTAAAACTCTTGCACTGTATTCCCGATGCCAGAAGCACCAACCTGCTTTCATGGGTGTATATATACCAACTAATGTTCAACTTTTTCGTCTCGGCTAAACGAAGAAACCTGCCCTCAGTATTGTATGTATAGAACTCCAGGGCACTGCAATCATACATCGAAAAAGAAAAAATAAAGAATACAGAGAGCTCTACAATATTCTTGCAGCTCGATGTAAACATCATTTATGTACTCGGATGGAAAACTCTTGCAGATTCTTATTGTATTTGTGATATTTTCTTTTCTATTATCTACAGAACAGTCCGATGTCATACTAGATGGAAATAGGCAAAAATAATGATCAGAGCAAGGTCACTGGTAGAAATTTGATTAAATATAATCCCCACTATGCATCACCTCCATGATATGAATGGAATGACTTGGATATAGTATCCTACAAATAATCCAAAACATGAACTTTTGAAGACTGAGATTTAAGTGGTAACCTGGTTTTCACAAAGACAATGTCACAGGTAGGACAATCCGTCCAAAAGAAACCTAGAATGCTTTCTGACTCGGACCTACAATTTTGACTATAAACATCTCCAGTCTCTTTGTTCCAGATCTGTATCTCATGTCTAGATCGCTGGATAGCCAAAAGCTTGAGGTCTAACGAATATCGCATAGAAAGCACAGGTCCTTCACTTATTGGATCCGATGAAGGAGCAACATTCAGATTATAAGGAGAAGTTTTCCATGAGAAAACCTACGAAAAAAATGCAAATATATAATTCAAATGAGAAATTTCAAAACCTGCTTGCCTACGAGCGTGGTACATGAGCAATACCTGATTAGATGTCAACGAGAGAAGCAGTTTATTTCCGTCATCGTAAAACAAACTTTTTGATCCAGGAACTTGGCATCTTAGAGGTGGGTATTGAATGTAAACATGTGAGAGTGCATTAGATCCACTAAAGCTAGAATGACTAGATGAAGATGCTCCTCCAATCATGTTACTGAATTTCTCCTGCCAATTATAGTATTATAGATCTGGAGGTGGGGGGGCAAGCATCAGCTGACGAATCTTGATTCTCTATCAATCAAGCACATATATGAAGAACAATTTCCAAATCGAAGTGTCACCAAGACAATGAACGACTTTATTTCTCTGATAATATAGTGTCTCGGATTCAAATCTTCCCTCGTACCTGGAGAGTAAAAAACAATGAACTAATACACGTAATAAAAGAATGATGTGGCGAAATTCATGAGTGAAGAGGAACTGAAGCAGATATTTTCATTTTTCATACCACGCTCTGCATGCAACTTTTTAGTGCAAGGAATTCTTTCAAACACATGTCCTGTTCAACTTCTGGAACTCTTGAAGAAACACAGCTTCCATAGTGCTTAGCCTACACTAAATAAATACATATCATCTATCAATATCTCCAGAAGGAAAGATAACTTTCACCTTATCAGGTAAGACTAAAGAATTTTGAAACCCTAAGAGAGTCACACAATAAAGAAGCAGGTTAAGGTTTGGAATTTCCATTCCATGGACCACAGAGCTAGTAATGAGCTTTGAGGAAAACCACATATAATGAATCACATATACAGCAATTTAGTAAGAATGAGGAAAAATCATGATAAGAACTCCAAATAATAAGTTTTGAATGGCATTCTTCATTTCTTGGTTGCACTGAGGTGCAGCAAAAATCAACGTTTTAAACTCATATTCTAGAATTACCCGTTGGGAACACATTGGATCATAGAGCTCAAAAGAACTATAAAAATAGCTTTGGATCAACAAAATTTAAAATTTTCTTTATGTAATGCATGATAAACTCCGATTTCCAAACCAGAATGGAAACAAATAATAAAAATTCAAACTATTAATATAAATTACAGCTTTTAAGGTATGCCACAAGGAGTCTTAATACAAATGCCTAAATATATTTTGCAGGACCAAAGCCAAGTTCTTTTCATTATTATTATGGTAATGAACTACTGGCAATAAAAAGGTCAACGGAAACAAACCTGAGCTGAACAGTTCACCAAAATTCGCCTGAGGAAAGAAGTTTTAGCATAATTCTTGTCCTTCATCACCAAATCTAGACGACGCCTCAATCACAACAAATCAATGATCCCAAAACAATTATAGCATAAAGAAAACAATCAACAGAACAAATATATTGCAGACCTTTAAATCTTGATCATCGCACAACGAAAGAATTGTAGCTTTCTCGACTGAATATTGAAAACTCCAAGTGCGCTAGCCTATACTTCACCAGCTCACCTGCAGGTCCAAACTCCTAACCGTGATAAACGACGACGTTTAAATGATTTGACAATGATGATATTATATATGGGCTGCTTGGGCCAAATCAAAGATAAGGGGCTTAGCCCAAATAGATTCAAAGATACCCACATAGTGAAAATGGATTGACGAGCCCAGACGTGAAAATTATCGGCCCATATTTTCCACTTGCATCCTTTTTTCAAGACTTTTTTCCACTTTTGGAGGGCCAAGTAGTCAACGAGTCACCAATAACAACGAAGCGCAACTTTGTGATAAGACGCTTCACCTATGATCGATGGGTTATGGATGTGAATTACTGTAGAGAGAAAGTGAGAGTACTATTGATCCTAAAAATGTAATCAACGAGTCAATCAATTTTTTAAAGTCGAGTTGTATAAAAAGTAGCTGAATCCCACATTTCTAAGGAAATAGGGCTTCTTTAATGGTTAGGACTCAAATCCAACAGATATTTTAGCCAGACGTCAAGCTAATTCAATCATAAATTAGCCGAACTGAGCTAATTTCAGGATATCAGGAAAAAAAGTAAAATTAGTGAAGGGAACAATGACGGATTTAAATGAAGCCCAGGGGGTCCAATGCCCCCCCTCAATTTTTTTTTAAGTATATATATATACAACAAATATTTATAATAATTAATAAATAAAAATTATTTTCTATGATATTTTAAATTTAATTAGTAATATTATTTATTTATTAAAAATATACTAACAGTTATTATATTTTACATTTTTAAATAAATTTTTTGCAAGTTGTTACATGTGATATATTAAGTAAATGAAGTGGCATCACGTTTTCAAAATAAATGAATCTTGGTTTGCCTTTAATTTTTTTCACTTGGAATTGATGAACATTTCACAACCTCTTATCAATAGGGCATACAATATAGTTTTACCTGATTCCCTATAACACTTTATATTTGACCTTAATAGCGTATGTAACGGGTGCAAACGATGGCACGAACATATATACACATAATTAGACATGGCCAAATGGCGGGCCGGTTCAAGGCCCGGCCCGGCGGGCCGAAGGGTTGGGTTTTGTCGACCCTGAACCGGCACGCCCTAAACCCGTGCCGGACCCATGACCCGGCGGGCCGGGCCAATCCGGGCCCGAGTCTAACCCGGAAAAATTAAAAAAAAATAGAAAAATTCAAAAACAACTGGTTTTTTCCGTGCCGGCCCGGCCTGGCCCGCCGAGTCGGTGTCGACAAAATGAAAGCCCTGGACCGGCCCGTTTGCAATCCGAGCCATGCCTGGACCCGCGATCAACGGGTTTGTCCGGGCGGTTGACCCGTTGGCCATGTCTACCCATTGTATATCCCAGCTTTCCTATACGTGGGATTAAGGTTAACAACTGTAGTAGAGTAGACAGATTAAAAAAGAAGAAGAAGAATGAATACACGACAAACCTAGTCTAGTGACCCCAAACAAATAAGGAAAAGAAAAATGAGCCAAGCTCAAACATGGAAACTTCTTGTATATATAATTATGGGACATAAAACTCTGTCTGTGTTCTGAATTACCAATATTAGCTAGCATTTGTCCCTAATTGATGTACTTAGGTCAGGTTACACAATCTAGGAGGAGAAAAGAAAAGTAAAAAGTTGTGTTACAACAATGTGTCACTTTCATCCATTGGTTGCAAATGCTTTTTCACAGGGCTCAGTGCCCAATAGGGGGTCCCTACTTGTGTTTCAAAAGGAAAAGAAATGAAATTCTAAGGTATAATTCTGTGGAGGAAAATAGACCAAAAGAAGATAGATTTTATTTTTACTTTTTATTTTGGAGGAGGATATAGTGTTGGAGCAACTGGTTCTAGAGGACCACTTTGAAATAGTGCCAAAAAAGTAATGTTCATTATGAATAGGTAAAGTACCAAAGGCCCACAAAGTGCATGGACTGGGCATTTTCTCTCATTCAATTTTCTCTTTTCTCTTGTTGTTCAACACTGACTTTAGTAATTGCAATCTGCAGAAATTGCTGCACATTACATGTCTAGTCACAACGTTACACTTACGCCATCTGATGAGGAGGGAGCATAAATGATTGCACACAAACTAGGGTAAAGAAAAGGGCTTCCACAGTTCCACTTGGGAGCGTAAATTGGTAGCATACTGAGTCATAATTGTAGTTAGACTCCCAAATAAATTGAATAAAAGTCCTTCCGAAAATCATTGTGGTAGGGTTAACTTTGAGAGGACTTAAGTAGAGTTAGATTAAGGTCAACATCAATCAATTCAAACTAGTATGTACCCCGTCGACAAATATATTAAATGAGTTCCGTTTAAGTGTAAAAAATAATAGGATTATTATATATTTTCTACTTCTTTTAATCAACGTTAAGTCTAGAAAATAATAAGGTTATTACAAGTTTTTTTCCACATCTTTTAACCATCATTTTTTTAGCCAGAACATTAAATATGAGCATGTTAAGGCTAGCTTGTAAAATAATTAATATATTATCTCACTAAAACATTTATACTAATAAAAACATCTAATATTTGTTTGAAGATAAAATGGAAAAAATATCAGAATAGAATTTTCAGTAGTACAATCTGAAATCAGATTACAAAATTTCAATATATAAATAATAAAATGTTTGGTAAAAAGATAAGAAGGAAATTTCAATTTCAATCTACAAAAAGTTTAAAACGATTTTATGGGATTTTGTTAATTAAACGGATTATATGAGATAAAGCAAATAGAAGATAAGAAGGGAATTTCAAATATACAAAAAATTGAAGCCGATTTTGTGGGATTTTTTCGCAGGAAAACCGATTGTATGGAAATAGTAATAGCATTAATTGAATCGCATTGCATTAGATTCAATATAAGATAATTAAATTTTCAAATATACAAAAAATTGAAGCCGATTTTGTGTGATTTTTTCGCAGAAAAATCGATTGTATAGGAATAGTCATAGCATTAATTTCAATATAAAATAATTAAATTAAATACATGCTGAAAATAGTAACAGCATTAATTGCAGTTGACTTTTTTGGATACTATTTGTAGTAAATATGATCCCTTTTTATATAAGTATAGATTATAAACTTAGTTTCAATCCCTCTAATGGTGCCTAATTAATCATCTTATTTATGTCGTAGAGTCAGCATCCTAGAACAAGTAGGGAAAATTGCGGTATTTTTGGTCTAATAAGTATAGGAACTAACGAGACCATTTTCTAGCAGTCATGTTGTAAGACATAAAACCACATAAAACGAGTCATGTGCAACAATGTTTCTCCAAACTAGAAACAATTTTTATTTTTCAGATGGAATATATATATAGTTCGTTAAAAAAGAAGAAGAATTAAAAAGAAACTGAACTTGCAAGAAGATATATGTGATGATTTTCAAATATAATGGAATGCTAATTAAACATATGATACTATGAATGCATATGTATGTCATATGTGCGAGTATAGAAATTCCAGTATATATGTTCTGCATTAAATATGAAGATCCTTTAAGATCCATGGACAATGATATTTCACCACCATTCTCACAAGAGCTTAATGGATATTTAATTAGTAGGTTCATCTCCAGCTGGATTGTACTTGTGGTGTTCATTCAATGCTTAACGAGCTATATATATATACTTGCCAAAACATGTCCCATATTATCTTTGAATATTTCACGTTACATCTCAGTGCATATACATGATATATATTATCATCTCAAATATTTATTCATCTGATGTTTGCATATATAATTATAGACTATTAGTTAGTAGTAATAAATATGGACTTTTACCTAGTTACTAGTTAGTACCAGGGGCAAAATTGTCTATTTCAAAATTATGTCCAAACTCATGTTTCGTTTAATTGGATGAACGACAACAAGAAATCTTTCCCTCAAAACAGATTCCTATAAAACTAAAGAAAAAGTCTTAATTAATTGCCTACTGCGGTTGAAATTAATTAAGTAGACTAATTAATGATAGCTCTGTTTTCCAGTTTATTTAAAAAAAGATTGGTTGTGAAATTAATTGAAAGGCGCCTGTGCTACTGAGTAGTAGTAGGAAGGATGGTTAATTAACAAACTTAATGATGTAACATCAGAAAAAGATGCCATTAGAATCAGTGGTCCTAAGATTTCAGTTCCAGACAACAATACTGATGGAACAATGTCCATCAAGTTTTTTAGAGTGAGTTCAATATTGGACTATTTTTTACATATCAACATATTCAAAGTGGGGGTTCACAGTCTCACTTTGTTTGTTTTATCATACAAGTCATGTATATTCCTGAAATTTATCTCCTATTTCAAAAATTACCAAAAGGAAAGAATTTAGACATGCAATTATGTGTTTTTTCTACAGAACTGCAATTTTTTCGCACATCTATTTGCATTAATGTAGTTGTGGCATCTTGTTACATATGCATATTGTTTTGCCAAAATACAATGTTCTGTCTCACAGCATATATGGCAAATTGAGAAAATGAGACATATATATATATATATATATATATATATAAGATGTGGTTCAAATGAGAACCAAGTCCTAGTGTGAGAACCGTGAGAACCGCTATTTTTAATTGTATGTAGTGCTATGATTAATTGTGTTTTAGTGCTATTTTTAACTAGGATGTATTTGATTAAAAATAGCAACAAAATTTTTATTAGCATTTATGAAAATGATAGCACCGTGTAATATTAAAAATAACATCATACACAATTAAAAATAGCATCAAATATGGTTCTCACGGTTCTCACACCAGACATAGTTTTTATTTGAACCAGCCCCTATATATATATATATAATCTTGCATGTAATAGTGATGGCTCACATGCATGTGACCAAATTCAATTACAAGGAATGTCCAAAAACTTTTACTTATGTGTATATTAATTACTATATAATCAATCATCATTCAAAGTTCATCCCATGTTCAAATCAAGGGCCCATGATTGGAACCATCTCAACTTTAATTAATGAATTTGTGCAATTTTTTCTTAAATAGGTCAATGAGAATTGACGTTGGTAGGTTTAATT